TATATGGGAAAAACTATTTCCTTATTTATATATACATGTTATAGTGTTTGTGTTTTACTGGAAGTGATGAAAATCTCTGACTCTTACATGGCACCAAGTTAATGGGCATGAGGCATTGAACATTGTGCCCTGTTGAGAGGTCGACCATTTAATATGGTGATGATCCCCACTGGTGCCAAGACTAGTGATACGTTCGTCTCAACTCATCATCCTAGCCAAGGCCATCACAAGTCTCACTCTCCCTGGGAGATTTTTGGGGGTTATTTTATATATATTTCACTGCAGAAGCAAAAGCAAAATTAGAAGCAAGGTTGTTTTACCATATGGCACTCATGGGTCTGTGTCTAGGGCAGCCTTTCTCAAACACAGTGCCTCGCTTTGTCAGAGATGCCTTCAAAATTTTGCACAGTGGCATGCAATTTCAGGTGAGCCGGCCACCAGCACCATGGAAAGGCATGATGCTAATCAAGGGTGGGGTGCATCCAGGACCTCCTTCAGCATTTAGAGGAGGAAGGAAGTCTATCTCCATTGTGGTGATGATTATAGGGTAGGACTCTTGAGAGGGGACTGAGGACTCTGAGGTGAAGGAGAAACTCTGATGTGAAGGAGGGACTTTTTATTGTGAAGAGGGCTCCCGATGTGTAGGGGAGACTCTAAATCTCTCGTGTGAAGAGGACTCCTGATGTGAAGGGGGGGACTCTGATGCAAAAGGGGGACTCTCATTTGAAGGGAGGGCTTCTGATGTGAAAGGTGGGGACTCTAATGTAAAGGGGGGAACTCCATGCCATTTTGTTTTTGCATGGATTCCCCCCTCAAAATCCTCACCAGGCCCCTATCTAGGATAAGGGTCTTATATAAAGTTGGGGAGGAACCACACCTTGTGTTTTACATTTACATTTTTGACCCGCGGTGCTTTAAGATTTTACATCTTTTTGAAGGGCGCCTTGACTGAAAAAGGTTGAGGAGGTGCCTAGGTTGGGGAGGCAACACCAAGCCTCAAAATCTACAAATTGTGATAACTTTTTAATTTTATTTCCCTCTTCTTATGTCCACCTGTGGACATTTATGGGTATATTCAGTAAGAGTAGCCTTGTCAACACACTCTAAAGTCTCTGACTTACCCGGTTTTCAAAAAGCTCATCTGGTCTCCATGTACAATGAACAAATCTCTCCACCAGAGACCTGTCCCAGCCCTTTTTCATACATAGTTGCCAGGTGACAGGTATTTTACCAGCCAGTTGGGTAGTTTTATATGTGTAATAAGCAGTTAATGTGTATTTAGCTATTTGGGTTACTCTTTCTAAATGGTTGCCAACATATACATATGGATGCTGCAGAGTACAACATTGGTTGTGTACATTGGGTAATAGGAAAGTGAGTTGGACTGTGGTGATGTATATACAGTATACACAGTGAGTGATGGAGGTTCAGGGTATATTTGGAGTAGTCATAAGGCTCTTTATAGTTAAGGAAACATGAAACACTTTCTTTCATTTCTTTCTTGTGTGTGGTGGTCTGTATGGTGGAACAAAGCTGTGCATATAAAGCAAATAACATGCAACCCCCCATGGCACATAGTTTCACAAAAATAATCATGATATAAGGGAAGAGCTTGTATAATAAAGACATAATCATAGGGACATACCAAGAACTGCAAGTCAAAATCCAGCCCTGGTGAGGAGCTCCAGCTTGGAGATCTTCCCCATACACCGGGCAAACTCTTTTTGTTGTTGTTCTGGCAAAGGTTAGGAATTTTTTACTGTTTCTGTTGTGGAGATTTTTCCTCACTTTATGTCCCAGTTGCAATGGCCAACAGTGAGGGAAATCTCTTTGACAGGGACTCACCAATAGAACCATTGCCGGTTTTATTGGCGAGTCCCGGTCCAAGAGATTTTCCTCACTGGCGGCCATTGCAACTGGGACAGGATGTAAGCAAGAACCCCCGCCAACTGTCCAAAACTCACCCTAGTGATACACTTCAGAGCATCTTGTAGAAAGGTATAAACAACTAAAGAAAGGGAACCAGGTCTGTGTTGCCATTGGCAACCATCATCACTTTGCTACGGTTGACACCTCTGTTTTCCGCCATTGCTTCAGACGGCGTGCCTGATGTCAGCTGAAGTCTAAGTTCCTATTAAGATAAAATAATTACTTCAGTTGTAGACATCAGGCCGTATCATGAACAGAAGAACGAGCGCCCGTGCGTCTCACAGTCTTGTCCCGCTGTTCCCCTGATATTCCCGCTCCTAATAAGCCGATCAGAGCCAGCAAAGGCGCTCCTGTTATTTTAACGGATAAATTAGTTTGACTCTTAACTCAATAATTAAAACTGTTATGGCTTCAAGCCTGCGGAGATAATGTACCATTATTATGGTCGTTTGTTTCAATTAAATGCTTGCTGGTTTAACAATAGCAGCTGGGCACCTGAGTGTAAGCAGCCATTACTCTGCACGTGGAGACAGCTCCATCTCCACGTACGGGAAATCTCCATAGAGGGGAATATTTTATAAGATGTATTTCTGCTAATAGAAGGTGTTAGGATTCAAGTAGCCAGGATCAAGGGATATGAATTAAAATTTGACAGCTGTACCGAATGGAGAGTTTGCCTTCTACTACAGACTCTCTCTTCAAGACTGGAGCTTTCATACCAGATATTACCTGCTACGCCACCTGCAGGAAAGTTTTGGTATTGCAGCATGACTATACAAAGACTTTAGTCAATGAAGGTGCATATTTATTAAAAAGAAAGGTTCAATTCAGACTCACAAATGGTTCAGTTCAGTAGGGCAAGAGAAGCCTTTCTAAATAGGCACTTATAAACATATGTAAATGTATGTGCATGTGATACAAATAGACATGAGAAAACAAGACTACAAATCAGAAATCAGCATTTACAAGCTTCTAAAAAAAAAATAGGCCACATGTAACAAAACATGTGAGAATTGGGCTTTAAAAGTGTGTGCATCTCCAAAAACTAAAGTACATTTCTAAAGTGAATCTGTTGTCAGATTTGACTGGAAATTCAAAGTTCATAGTCTTAACAAGCATTACATGGACTCTGAAACAAGCCCTCACTGACATCTGTAGCTTCAGGCGTTGTGGAGCAATTCATCCTCAAATTTCCCAGCAGAAGCAATAAAGTGATCAAAGCCATTCTCTCAGCAGTTTAGCTCATCCTTTTACATATCTCCCAACTTTCTGAGATGAGAAAGAGGGACACCTTCCTGGACAATGTATGTAGGCAATGTACACCGCTGAGCCACACCCCCAGTTGTGTGGACCATTAAGAATTTATATGTCGATAATTATTGTTATTTTCAAAAGAATTGTCTTTTTTCCCATTACTGTTTCTTTATACCAACTCTTAGAAATAATATTCAAGATAATTAAGAGATAAGGTAAAGGTTTTAGTGAAGATTAAAAGAGAATTATGGGGTAAGTGTTTTTCCCCGTAGTTCTCTTAAGGGTCACGAGAGGACATATACTAACCTCCTCCCGTGACCCAAAGCTCAAGTATATCGCGAGCTACAGCTCGGGGTATACTGAGAGCGCCACAGCTGGGACGGATCCAGACATTACTGTCGAGATCCACCCAGCTGCGTGAGGATGAACTGCTCCATAGTGCCTGCAGCTACAGAGGTTAGTGATTGTTAAGAATATTTAAATACTTACATATCCTGGCTCACTTTACTCTTAGGCTCAGACTTTTCTTGAAACTGTTACACTGGGCGTCATGGTCAGGAAGAAGTTGCCTGTAGCAGCCAATCAGTTTCTGCTTTTCATTCATAAAAAGAACATAAAAGAGGATATGATTGGCTGCTGTCGGCTATGAAAACAGCCTTCCCTATGGACGCATTCAGCTGTGTGACCCTCTTGTAAAGCACTGCACCGCGGGGCTAAATGTGATGTTTTTATTTATTAGTTGGTTGTCGTGTTATAAAACATGCTGACGGAATCCCGCTCAGCAAGCCATGTTGTGAATGCAGCTGCTGGTAACTATGCTAATCAGCTGGATTATTCATTTATTCACTTTGTAGCTGTCAGGCTGCTAATGGGTCATTAATTGATAATTAAAGAAGATTAGGCTGTGATACGGCGCTGCAAGACATATGTAGCCAACTCCACTTAACATTTCTCTTCAGCTTGTTCACTGAAGGTTTGTAAGATGAAAGCTGTAAGCTGATTGGTTGTCATGCACAGCTGCTCCAGTCTTAGTAAATCCCTCCCATAATTTTTTTCAAAGGAGTGCTGAGGATGCTTACCAATGATTTATAATGTTCCCAGGAACTGAACTAGCAGTTAGACAGCAATGCTTACATAGAGGGAGCTATTGCATGATGGAAGCAGCGCTGGTTTTGGGCCTCTTGAACTATGATGGACAGACACATAGATTCTATTCTTTTTTTTCAACTTTTCGGACATGTATCTGACACCCTGACATAGGAGCCATGTTGACTTCATTGACTGAAATAGGCAGCCATAGCAAGCAAGGTATTCTTCTACCTTATTACCTGTCCACTCACACACTTTTATTCTTTGTGCCCTCAGATACAGGAGCTGGTACACTCTGAAGGATCCTCTTATGACCACAACCATCAAGTTTCACTGATAAACCGGTCCGGAATGCTCCCCAGTCACATGAGCGCTCTCAGCCAATCGCAGCTTATCTCACAAATGGGAATGAAGAGTGCAGTTACACATGGCTCTCCTTCCCCTCCGGGTAGTAAATCGGCCACTCCCTCACCTTCTAGCTCCACCCAAGAGGAGGACACTGACTCTCACTATAAGGTACTCATCACAGATTGTTTGCTCAGCCATTAAAAGACTGTGACTATGAGGTGCTATCAGTTCAATATTTCAAGCCTATTTTTCCACTCCTTGCAATAGGGTGACAACGTTGTTCATTAGGCAGTGAAATTGCACAGCAGCATTATCACCCCGTGGTACAGGATAGGCTTAGATGGACATGTAGTTTTAAATGAAGTTTAGGCCATATAAATGGTTGGTCCAAACCCCTATAACTGTCCTTTTTGGTCTGTTAAGGAACTGCAAAAATAGCATGGTCAACAGGTCACAGGGGGGTACCCAGAAAAACAGTGAAAGGCTGTATCATATGTGTTTATTTTGCCCATGGTTCCACATTAAGATTTTTTTAGTGAGCTGGGATGAGGAAGAGAAGAATAGCAAGAATAGAGAATGTGGTCTCTTTAAGGTCATAAATGTTGCAAACACTGACGGAACCAAAGACTTGCTGCACAAAAGAAGATAATATTTTGTAAGAACGCTCCACCATAATAACTGAACGGGAAGTATTTTATTTATAGCAAAGCTGTACTTTTTCCCAAAGTAACAGGTTTGCTGGACTGTTCCCCCACCCCATTGCTTCTGGTAGCTACTTCTGTTTAGTCCCTTGCCGCTAATTCACCTGCCTGAACCCCACTAACATATAGGATCTTAGTGGGGTTCCAGCAGGTGAATAAGGCATCAGGGGTGTGAATGCAATTAACTATCAGAAGCAAAGGGGGAGGGGGGACCAATCCATTAAAACCTGTTACTTTGGGAAAAGTATAGGTTCGCTTTAGTACATTTTAGGTTGGCTATGAGTTGGAGATTACATAAGATTGAGGATTCTGCTCCCATGCCCACCCCCACATGACAGTGCTCACTCCTACATGACAGCTCTCAAGCCTAGAGACTGGCTGTTCAGATACCCAGGACTGCAGGGGAGGGAGCGGAAAGAGTCCCACCCCCAATACTTAGTAGTACTGATCATTTCACAGAGTTTCAATGGGTGGCAGTAGGTTAGGGTGGGGAAGATGGTTATCACCATCATAGAAGGCAGGCTCTCTAGCAAACCTATTGCATTTGCCCTAAATAGGCAGGCACAGGTTTGCCTAAAATGTTGACTTCTTTCCTTTCAATTTTGAGTTCTTCCTTAGCAGAAACCTGTGTCAGGAGACATGAGGAGGTTGCTATTACTAACTACCTTCTTGCCTGTTGTGCAGAACCTCAATACTGACACCATACTGGTAGGCAGATTTGCCTTAATGGAAACCCAAGCTTAGAGAAATGCATTGGCTGCAATTGTTCGTCTCCTTCTGAAGACGCTAGTTTCTTGGCTGCCTATGGCTATCTGTGAGTTCCTAACACAGAACAAGCATGCATTGCTGATTTGCATATTTGTTGTAGGTCAGTTCCCGAAATTGATGCCAGAGACCCCATGCAGCTAGCATTTTCAAAAGTGGTTTGCCAGACCACATATTTTTCTAAGTACAGGTTGACGTTATATAGTTATATACAGAATTCGCTGACACAGAATTATTGCTTTTTTTTAACACTTTCTTTGTAATCCTCTAAAGTAAATATTCTCATGGTTGCTAATGTAACACATCATGTTTGTATGTATAGTTTATAAAACAATATATGTTGTAC